CTCTCAAAGTCACTTTAAGGTTGCTCAAAGGTCGTCCATAAACTATAGACTCATCAAACATTGTACAGTAAAAGTATCAAAATCACAATAATTCTAACCAGATTAAACAAGACGAAATGTAGAGAATAAAATCCGAAATACAAATACTCAAAAGTAAAGATGAGATAAATTCGAATCATTAAAATGAATTTTGAACTATGTGACAAACTATCAATTAAGATTGTCTTCTTTACTTCAAACAGATAGTCTATATTTGCCAATAGCAACTTAATGGACACAAAGTAAGCTTCCGAGTTCACTTAAGAGATAGTCAGTTATACGAATTACATTTCCCAGACTACTTATGCTTCATCTTCAACTAATACTCTAAGTTTAACCGCTAATTTTCAATATATATATATGTGCTTCACCCTTTTAGCATGTGAATCGAACCCCGAACCTTCTGTCTCACGTGCGAACGCCTAACCTCCAGACCACTGAGTCAAAATCCAACTGTACTATTTATAAGCTTTTTTAGCTCTGAAAACAAATTAATCCAGCAAAACAATCTATTGCAACGAATTCACTTGTTGAAAACTATACATTCTTACATAAATAATTCACTATTCAATTCGAAAACTATAATAGGCATCACAGAATTTACTTTGTCCCTAATTGTGAAAATCAAAATCATTTATTTTATTGTATTTAAACACATAAACATTAGTACAAGGAGGCACAAAAATATAAATGAGCCACACTCCGTCACTCGATTGGTATGTGGGCTGGAATACTGCCTGTACGCCCAAGTCGAAGCAGATGGTTTTCTTAAGGGGCCACAACCCGAAATTTCGATCTAAAGGTTTGGTTCACAATACAGTGGAACAACGTAAGGAGATGAAGTCTTATGGTAACCGTTGACCAACAATTGGTTCATACACCATTTGTTCCCTTAAGATACTGTAGCCCATGTGCACCAATGGTTTAGAATCAGGGTTCTCCAACTTCCCTAGATGGATCCTCCATATCCATCAACCCGGTTAAAACGCCTGCCTTCAATTTCGTAAACAACACCCATGGTGCGAGAAAGCAGTGAATAGGACTTCCATGTCAGTGGCTGTATACACGTGACCATGTGAGAGCATTTTGAGGGGGAAGAGCTAACTCTCTCTACCCTCAGCGGTATCAGGGTAATGCTTGAATAGGTAAGATCTACACAGACAGAAACAACTGAATTGAAGGATTACAAAAGAGAAGTGTTGTCAGTTTAATTGAAGTTACAACACCAACATGATTGATTTTGATCAACAACAAAAAAAAAAACATTAAAATGTATGTATGCTCATAAATTTAATCATTCAATGTGTCTAATTGAGAAATGTTATTAAGAGGGAACAAGAACAAAAAGTGATTGACAAATAACGGAGTTGGTAAAATCAATACATCTGTACAGTTGTAGCTCACTTAAATATACATTGATCCTACTCAAAATTATCAATTGAATGTACCTGAGAACTAGAGGGAACAAGTGTCTATATGATATGAACATTATAACTGTGTTACTTATATTCACTTGGTATTGTTTGGCTTGTATCTTCCCATTGAGGTTTAAGACTGCAATTGATCAGTCTGTTATTGGCACACGTGAATACTGTGCGTTTGCATCGATATTGCCTTAATTCACAAGCTTTTTGTAAGCAATGATGGATAGTGGCCAGCAGTGGAATCCAGTTTGACGCGTGTTTCGTCCGGTAACTAATAATTTATTATGGAATTTTAAGGGCATCATATGATTAATTGCTTGGTTGTGAATTGATTAATTTTCTCATAGTTAATGAAATTATGAATATTTTCTTCAGATACATTGATCTAGTCATTTATTCTCTAATCTCAGCTACATTCAATCTGTTTGTTTCTGATTCATTTTATAACAAACGCCAAATGAGTTACTATGAATTGATTGTTACAAGAAAAGGTTATTTATTTTAAAGAGGATAAAGAATGATCGGAGAGACTCTAATTTAGGGACGACCTTTGAACGAATCTTAAATGACCCTGACAGGTTTACTCCTGAGATTTTTAAGGATGGTGGTCCAGTATTAGCAATGAGATTAACCGAGGTCTTAGGTAGAATTTGGGAACTGGACGTAATCCCATCTGACTGGTCTCAATCACTGATTGTGCCAGTCTATAAGAAAGGACAAAAGTCCTCTTGTGACAATCACAGAGGAATCAGTTTGACTAATATAGTGTCTAAAATATTAGCCTCAATAATACTTCGACGCCTAACTAAAGCTCGTGAAGAGCAGACTAGAGAAAATCAGGCTGGTTTTCGACCTGGACGTGGTTGTATAGATCATATATTCACACTACGTCAGGTTCTAGAACACAGACACACATTCAGACGCCCCACAATGGTAGTATTTCTCGACCTTTAGGCGGCATTCGACTCTGTTGATCGTAAGGTACTATGGCAGTGTTTGCCACTGAAAGGAGTACCAAAGAAGTACATTAACCTTATAAAGGCTCTCTACTCGAACACAACTGGTAGAGTGAGAGCTTATGGCGAACTGTCATCAGAATTGATCACCTCAAGTGGTGTTCGTCAGGGCTGTCCACTCTCCCCATTCTTGTTCAACTTTGTCATTGACGTACTTTTAGAGATAACACTCTCCTCATCTAAATATACAGGGGTTGAACTTCTACCAGGAGGTTCACTTGTTGACTTAGAATATGCAGATGACATAGTTCTATTTGGTGAAGACGCTGACAAAATGCAGTCTTCTGACCACTCTAAGCAACAATGCAAGCATGTTCGGGATGCGATTCTCTCCCTCGAAATACAAAATGTTGCTTCAGGATTGGGTTACATCGACACCCGAACTAGTGATAGGGAGTGAAGTAGTTGAGTGTGTCGACCGCTTCACTTATCTTGGAAGTCTCATCAGCCCTTGTGGTTTAGTGTGTGACGAAATCTCAGCACGGATACAGAAGGCTCGACTAGCTTTTGCCAACTTGCGTCATTTATGGCGTAGGCAAGATATCTGTCTATCAACCAAAGGACGGGTTCACTGCGCAGCAGTTCTTTCCGTTCTACTTTATAGCAGTGAAACATGGTCGGTAAGAGTAGAGGATATTCGTAGGTTACTGGTATTTGATCATAGGTGTCTTCGAAACATTGCTCATATATCATGGGACCATCGAGTAAGTAACACAGTTGTTAGGAAACGAGTACTAGGTAAGGATGGCAAATCAATTGATGAAGTAGTGAAACTTCATCAGTTGAGATGGCTGGGACACGTGTTACGTATGCCCAACGACCGACTGCCTCGACGTGCTATGTTCAGTGGTATAGGAGTAGGTTGGAAGAAAGCTAGGGGCGGCCAAACCAAAACATGGCACAAGTCCATGAAGTCACTGACAAGTGAACTGAGTCATGTTGGTAGGTGTAGACTACCTGGTTGGGGACCGCGAGATGATAGCAACCGATGGTTAGAGACCCTGAATGACATGGCTCAAAATCGTTTGCAATGGCGCAGGTGCATCCACTCTTTGTGTTCTCCCAAATTCTAATCTTCTGAATTCTTCATGCCCCTTTCTTTTTGTCTCTTTCCAAATTTCTTTCACTGGATTATACTCTTTAAATAACATCTCCAAACCCTAATCTTCCCGATTACTGCTTATACTCTTATTACCTCTACCACTACGGGATTTGAATCGAAAAGTGCATCTCTGTGCTAATGTGGTGTGGCAACTCGAACTGATGTACGTACGTACGAAGTTCTACGTTGTTACTGACTGACTGACTAAATGACCCTGACAGTTATTAGCCAATCAGAAGACAGTTAGTATAAACTGAAAATATATTATAAGTAGTGAATTACAGTGGATATTCTTCTTTTACATGATTAAAAAACTTGTTAAGGTTTGATAAAGGCTCAGAAGTTCTGAATTCATAATGCATACGGTATAGAAACTTGTCCATAGGTTTAGGGTGCTAACATGCGATCGGTTTACAACGGATTTTAGAGGTTAGGGTTGTAGCCTCTCAATAAACACCTCTTCTCTAAAATGCGATGTAAACTGATCGCATGTTAGCACCCTAACCCTAAACCTATGGACGAGTTTCTATACCGTATGCATTATGAATTCACAACTTCTGAACCTTTATCAAAACTTAACAAGTTTTTTAATCATGTAAAAGAAGAATATCTACTGTAATTCATTACTTTCTTGTAATATATTTTTACTTTATACTGTCTTCTGATTGGCTTATAATTGAAATTGCTAAAACGCTTCTCATTGGCACGTCTCTAAATTAGTCTCGCCGTCCCATCTGTTGTAACCTCTCATTAATCACCTCCTCTCTAAAACCCGCTGTGAACCGATCGTATATTAGCATCGCGTGTTGAACTTGGCTCCGTGAACTTGAAATTGCTCAAACGCTTCTGATTGGCTTGTCCCTAAATTAGAGTCTCGCCGAATGATCTATTCGAAGTGTTTTATAATGTCAGTTAGTGTATTTTATCGTTGACCAGATACTATCAGAAACAACTTACTATGGGAGAGAACAAACCAAATTTCAAAGAAGTTAGAAGTCAGGACGAAGCATTGGAAGTGGATAGGACATACATTAAGGAAAGAACCCAACCGTGTCACAAGGCAAGCCCTCACTTGGAATCCTCAAGGTCAAGGGAGATCAAGACCAAAGAACACATTACGTCAACAAACAAAGACATACATGATAAGAAAGAACAACAATTGGATAGAACTCGAAAGGATGGAATAGGGAAGAGTTGGTTGGATAATACTGGTCGGTGGCCTATGTTTCACCGGGGGTAACAGGCGTAAGTAAGTAAGTGTATTTTGCCAAACAGAATAGTAAATACAATGATATTTCAATAGATCTAATTGAAACATTTACTTTCCATCTTTCTACATCTTTATTACGCAACAAAGTAGTAATCTCCAGTATTTAAAAAAGAATTGGATACACCAAAGACAAAAAAGAATCAACAGAATAACCGGTATAAATCTCTTATATTGTACAAATTATCACTGCTGAATTGACAACAGACAGAAATAGGCAAGGAATTATTTGAAAGAAAAATACACTGTACAACTATATATATGAATGTATATACATAAATAGATAATGAATAGTTTATTAATACTATTTACAATATCTCATACAATTTTCGATTGACGCATTTTTATATAACGTAAGAAATCACTTGCTTCCTTGTAATCTGGATGTGTTTGACTAATATCAAATGCAGGATTTCTTAGAAATTCATCAAAGCGATCATCATCACATAATTCATCAGGGTTATTGTTTTCTCCAAACCACTAAGTGAAATAGAAAGAAGATTAGTGAAGTGATGATGATTCTAGCTATTTAACACTGAGTCGAAATATTGCTTCCGATTTTAAGTAATTGATTATACAATATTAATACAGAGGGACTTGTGGACATTATAAGATTTTAATGGTTTAAATCACGATCTAACATGAGATAAAACATTATTGAAAAACTGGAAGCATTAGACGACCGTTTCGTCCTAGTGTGAAACTCCTCACGTGCTCAATAGTGATTAGCTTCGGTAACAAATCCCTGCAGTTCTAGTGATTAGCTGTGACCAGTAGAGCAGTTACCCAACACAGAAAATAGATGAGAATTGCGCAATATCGTGAATCGGTTGAAGTTAAATATCAATACCGTTGAATTCCGACTCAATTATCTAGACCTTAAACATTGGCACGTGGGATTGAAGATCCTGGGTTACATATCCTGAGGCGGTGCCGTAAATGCGCACTACTGAGGAGTACTATACAAAGACAAAACACCCATCTAAGATAAGTCCTTGGTTTGAATTATGAAAATCATATAATATACATGACATTTAACAAATCCATCCAGTCGTTCGAAACAATAATCTGCTTATTACCATAGTAATACTAAGAATCTACTATACCAGCTTCGGTCTAGTTTAATCTTGTCAGTCATCCAAAGGTGACTACTAATACTACTACGATGAGTAATTGATGCTGATATACAGATTGAAAGACAGGTAAGGAGTTAAGATACAAGCGTATTTCCGCGAAATATGACGTTTAACACTAAGAAAAGGCCCATTGGAAACTCAGTTACCAAGTGCAAATTAGTATGCCACATTTCGACTTGCATCTTTTATATATGAAAGCTGATAGTATTATCCATATGTTAATGTGTTTTATTTGTACATCCAATCAAAAAATTAACATGATGCGAACTTGATATCATCTAGAGATAAATTTCTGACTAATGAGTCAAACTACTATTAAATTTATTAGTAATATTGCTGACTAACTGGCATATTTATAAAATGAACAAACAAAACCTACCAGTTTCGATTCACGTTCTAATCTTGCTTGAACTTTTCGTTTTTTCTCTAAGATTTTTGTACGCTAAAAATAAATAATACATGAAACCAAAAGACGGTAGGAATACACTATACTGACTGACGGTCATGAAATAAATGAAATTAAACAATCAAATTTGAGGCGGTGTTTATTGAATCTATGTGCCATGTTTAAAGCAGAACCGCGGATAACCTGCTACAGGATATCATGTTTTTGACCATATCTCTCATTCTACACAACTTGGTTGGTTGTATGACCATATTTCACCTACATAATGTTGGATTAGTGAGAAGCTAGTAAGTTGCATCATCATTATGATGTGAAATCAAGGAATTGCTATGGATTAACTGGAGTTTTATACAGCTTTACTAAACAGCGTTGTCATTAAGAATATAGATCTAAACCCTCACTGATTGACAAATGCACATACACGATAGGCAGTGTGTAAAGACTGTTCAGCATGAGAATACAACTACCATATAATTAACATATCGTTCTCATTTGTTGAATTCAGCTTCCCGTTGACCAGAATAACATTATGCTAAGTGATATCTTCTGAAGAATTGACGAAAAACTGAGTAAGATAAGTATGGTACATTACTATGTTTGTTGTTTAGACCATAAATTTGAAGGTCTTGCTTCCATACTTTGAAAAAAACTCATTGAGTATTCTGACTTTTCCGGGGTTGATCGTTTACCATCGAGTAAGTTATGCACGGATTAGGAATACATCAACTACCTCGATGGGAGATCATTTCTGATGTAGGAGTAGACTGGCTGGAAACTAGTGGCAGTCAGACCAAAACATGGTATCAGTCATTCACAGTTGGACTGAGTAATGTTAATAGGTGTAGACTACCACCTGGTTGGGGTCCGTGTGATTATCGTGGCCAATGGTTAGAGACTTTGAATGACATGGCTCAAAATCGTTTGCATTGGTGCAGGTGCATCTATTCTTTGTCTTCCCCTAAATTCTGAAATTCTAAATTTCCCATACAGTTTTTGTGTTTTTATTTCAGTAATTTATACTTTCTTTTCGATTCGCATCTTTGATGCCTAATCTCTTATACTGCCACTGATACTGTAACTACCTCTACTATTGAGATTTGGCCTGACAATTTCATCTCTCGGTGCTAATGAGGCAAAGCAACTTGAAACGATGTACATACGTACCACGTTCTACGTTGTGACTGATGGAATGACTAATTCAAAATATGTCTGATTGCTCACTACCCTCTCTATTCAATGCAAGACCATATTACATTTTGAAACAGATCACTTAATAATAATGTAGGTTGTGTACTGGTTAATCCAAATCCGTTGGCCAGATACCACCATCAAAAACCTATTTTGGCAAAGAACAAACCAACTTCTAGCTGGAGGTGTACATTGTAGAAGTCATCAAACTGAATCATGAGGCAAACCCGAACTTCGGATGCTCAAGGCAAAAAGAAAAGACGCAGACCAAAGAAGAAATTGTGCCAGGAATTAGAAGCAGATATCTAAAGAATGAATAGCATTTGGAAACAATTGGAAAGAAGAGCCCAGGTCAGATTGCTGATCAGCGGCCCATGCTCCACGAAGGGTAGCAGACTTACGTAAAATACATAAGCAGCTGGCTACCATTACTGAAAGGCTTTTCATGAACACAGATCATTCTCCTGTGCAGTCACCTGAATAATACAATGTGTATCATCGTCTTAATAATCAGTGAGAAAATCATTTACAACTGGACAAATTATTAAGAACTTTAGGTGTTTTGAACAGAACCTACCTGTTTGATTTTTTTCTTTCTTTTATTGTCATTCTTCTGAGGGGATTTAACAACTTTTTTATCGTTATTATCACTGTAATTATCTTCGGATTCAAGAGGGTTGTTAGTTCCTTCCATTTCTATGTCTTCATCATTATTATCATCGGAATCCCTCGCCTCTGGTAATACCTTACGACGAACTTTTCCACGTGATATAGGCGTTACTGCTTGTGAGTCCTTTTTCTTTTCAACAGGTCGTAGATCATATTCTTCAGTTTCAGAAGCATCATTAGGAGTATGAGAGGCTAGATCAAGGATTTCTTCCTCTTCCTCTTCGTCTTGATTTACTGATTCCCCATCCATATCAACTTTATCAGTAGATGACAATCCTAAAAGTGCTAGACGAACTTCAGCTGGTGGAAGTTTTTTCGGCCTATGACGATGAATTCGAGGAACAGTGGGGGCAGGTGGTTCTGATTCAGGATCTGAGCTAGCCGCTGTACTAGCCCCACTTGAAGAAAGAGCAAGATATTTGGAAAGCTATAAATAAATGAATAAATCAACTAATTATTTTATTGAGGTCACGAATCGATCTAAGTTGAACAACCATCGAAAACCTGGAAGCACTTGATAGCTATTTCATCCTAGTGTGGAAGTTGTTAGCAGTCAGCATCTACAACCCTGCCATCAAAAATCGAATATAGGATCTTCGATCTCGCGTGCAAACACTCAATCTCTGAATCATTCAGTCGGTATTCAGCGGTATATATTATTAGGGTGTAATGCTTCAAAGTGAAAATAAATTTATACCGAAGTAGTACAAATCGTATGTTAAATTACGTAATAAGATTTAATTGACAGTTTCACTTCATATAGAAGCAAAATAATTACTTAGGAATGATTTTAGCACCCACACACCCACACCTAGTTGCACCATCAGAAGTAGGGTAGTTAAGTAAACTTGCCTGAAATAAACCCCGGTAAATTTGAAAGTTTATTTACAAATGTCAAAAACTCATTCCATCCATCAATACATGAATGGATATATACCACATAGGATAACAAGAATTAATCAATATATGCAGACGGAATCAGATAAGTTGTGTTTGACAGTCAGCAATTAAGATGAATTCCTCATCTGTAATGAAACCGACCAGAGAGTAATTATTACAGTCAAAGGTTTTCAGCACAAGAGGTAAGACAGCTTAAAAGATTTGCAAGAGTATTTCAACTAGAAAAGATGATTTGGGAAGGTAAAAATAGTGATATATACAAATACAAATTAATAAGTATACGAAAATAACAGAAATTAGTGAAAGCATCAATAAAGGGAAGCCGATTTTTACTTACTTCATCTCTATTCTCTGTTAAAGTAGTTTTAGGATCAATATCTGGACGAAATTGATCACGTAGCCAATTTGTTCGATCAGCCGGTGTTTTATCCCAAGTTATACCGATTCGTGTTGAGTGTAAGGCGCTTGTTTCAAAACGGATTGGGGCGTATTTTGTTTTATTGATTTCCCGACATTCACTTACAAGATGAGCATATTCTGAAGGAACCTGGAATATTTCAATTTAAAAACGAAATATAAGAATAAAGTATTCAGAATAAATAATTCAATGGGCATATACACTTAGCATACCTAATGATATGAAGAGTCCTTGAGCAAATTTTACAGGAAACTATGACATTACTTAACAAATATACAAGCTCAATATAAACTTGGAGTTGCTTCGCAAGTTAAATTAGAAACAAATGTAAATGAGAATAGTTTTGTGTTAGCGGGACATAGACTGGATTAAAGCATGCTCAATGCATGATTGCTTTGGTGCACGCTGATTGGCTAATTCTTATCCAATCAGCACTAGTCGATAGTCGGAGAATACTCTGGAATCTTCTTATGTAAAAACTATAAATATACCGACGTTTTCCCTATTGTGCTTCTGGCTTGCATCTTGCTTCCATCTAACCTTGTTATTTGGAATATAATCTCCTTCCTGTTCAACCGTGTTCTGATTTGGGGTCTTGTCGAGTGAATCGGTGTCCAAGAATACTAAGCAATAGGAATAGCTGGGACATAACCGTAAGAAAACAGAGTTAGAACATTTTGTCACTAAGATTTAACTTGATAGTTTCAAATAAACTAAACATTGGGTAGATAGTCAATAATAAAAACAATGATATATTTGTGATGTCCTAATGAGTGGAAATTAGAATTTCTGACATTTAGTGACCTAGTTCCAGTCGCTTCTTCAGAGGTTAAGTGAAAATAAAACCTGATTAGGTGAAAATATAATAATAGTCTGTCTATGGGCCAACAATCAAAGCGATGAGGGGTACGTTTCATTCTATGAACCCCAAATGTTCGACGTGTAACTGAAGCAGTAGCTTAGAGTGAAGAGATGTTGGTATCTGTCATTCTAAATATTAGGCAATCGTTTGTGATACGAGAAAATCACGTCAACAGAGAATTTTCTTAAGCTTCTCAGGAGTCTTGTCAGTCATGAAGCTTGAAATTTTCTAAATTATTGGGTTGCAAAGCGACGCCTAGTGAATGTGTTTAACTGTTACTGGTAAAGGAGTATCATTGAGTGACGAAATGAACTTCTGAACAAAATGAGTAGTTAGACTATATATTGTATTTGATTTAGTTGATCAAGTTAACGTGGTCCCAGAGTTGAATCATATTCAGTACCCTACAAGGGATACCTGTATTCTTGAGGGGACTGATGCTCCCTGGGAAATGCTCAGTGATCGACCAACTGTAAATACATCTCAGTCTTACATGAGGTCGCCCGAGGGTCAAACAGCTCATTGGTATCTTTCCTGGCCGTGAATCTCGGTACCATGGAATCAAATCCGCCAGGAGCCATCAGTCTCCTCGAGATTACAGGGGTACCTTGCTGAAGAGTGACAAATGACACGTAACCTTGGTCAAGCAGTTACCTGTAATTACCTCTACTCGCCATCAACTTACGTCTCAATACAGCGCACATGAAGTCGAGTCACTAAGGTTAGTCACCACATTGCAAGTTGGTTGATAGAATCCGATCAGTACTAAAAAGTACTTGATATTCATGACATCGGTCGTTAATCAATGATCAATCAATCGTATTATTAAAAAAGTGTTATACAGATAGAGAGATGGAAAAACTACCAAAGCAAATCTTACTTCAAATTGTTGGTCATTATCAACAAAACGCAAATCTAGCCGGGAACCGGAACTTTCATATTCAAGGCCATCACAAGCCGTATAAATTGCTTCCGCTGTTTCAACACTATCAAATTCAATAATAGCATAGAAATATTTCAATCGTGCTAATTGATATTCGCGAATACGACGTCGGAGTTTAGATGATGCATTACGCCAGCCAGATTTTTCATCGACATCTAGAGCCATAGTCGAATTCTCTACAGTCAGATTGTTGTTTTCATTGCATTCTGTATCTGATTCACTTGGACGGAGTTCAAGTGGTCCATGAATAGCTTCATCAGCCATACGTTTAATACCAAACTCGGATGGATAGATCTAAATTGGTATTATCCGAAAATAAAACAGATTGATGACAAAAACAAACACATGTGTAATACTATTGAATGACATTGAATTCAAAGAATTACGTGATGTAGTTGTAATTCTAATAGAATCGAGTAGGTTAGTATGTTACAAAGCAACCGATCTACACACAAAACATACGAATTAACTACAAATACGATTGTTGCTGCCACTTAGTACTCAATGTTTCACTGAGCCGTAGGAATATTAAGGGATAGCACCAAGCATGTGACTGCAAAGCATTGTTACTCAGCAAATACACATTCTAACTACATTTTTAGCCAACCAGTGGAGTTCGACCGTGTCGGGTGTGAGGAAGATATCCACTGAAGACAATGGATAATAGTCGTGCAATATCGTGGATTGATTGAAGTTACATTTGTACACTACTGGTTACTGACTCAGTGATCTGGAGATTGAACGCTCACGAAGGTAATGGGTTAGATTTTCGATTGGGGATTATAGTGGACACTGATGAGGAGTCTCACAGTAGGACAAAATGATCGTTTACTGTTTCCAGTGATTGTTCAACTTAGATTGGTTCTTCATCTCAATGCAACTCGGAAATCTCCACAACCTCACGCTGACATAAAACATTAATTGAATGAATTATCTTGAACGGCTCAACGATAGAATACACTGTTCAAAAGGATTGCTTTCACACTATGTAGTAGTAAAAATTGAAACTGGAGCGGACAACTTCCTACCGATTTGATCAACAGCTTAAAATACTGATTACTTCCTGTCAAAGTCTACAAAATGATTAATCAGATAAGATCCTTAAAAAGATTTTGTCATTTATTGGAGATATTTACGGGTAAACCTATAGAGTAAGATAGAAGCTTAAAAATCAACTGTTTGTAGTCCATTCGGGAACTGGATGGCAATAAAACTCTAGAGATAATATTCTCCTACCACATTAATTCATGATCGATAGTGTAAACCTAGTTTAGGATACTGTTACAGTGAGATGAACCACAGAAACCGTTCATTTAAATTAACTACCTTGTCAGATGTTTCAGTTAATAAAACTAAAGTATGATCTTAAGTTACAGCTACCACCCACATTCCATGAGGAATAACATACAAAACAATTCAACGAGACCAGTTATAAAGTAAACCGGTATGGAAATTGGTGACTTCAAACCATTCGCTCTTGAGATGTGCTTTTCTAAATATTGTGCAGTTGAGTCACCCAGCAACATCATAACCAATCAATAACTATATGATTATAAAAACTTGTTCTTTATGAAATACGTGAACCGTCAGTCTCATAATTAAGGCATTAAGTACCAGGTTCGAACACCTCTCCACCTGCTTTGGTTTAGGAGACTGGGTAGTGTCACTAGCCTCCAAAGTTAGTGCGGCTCATTCCTAGGTACCTGATGAACGAGTTAACTTAAATTTTAATTCATATGCTGATGAAGAATAGGGTAAATAATTCATCACTTGAGGGTAACAAACGACAAGGTAATCATTTAGTCTAGTATGCCGCTCAAATCGTTAGGACAAAAAGTGAAATGCAATGAGGGGATGGTAGTTTAGCATCTACATTTTAGAAAGTTGTTCGATCAATTTAATGACTTACTGTAACTTTTTCGATATGCCCTCTGGCTGGTAAAAATGATTCTAAGACCATATAAATTGTTTCTGGTTTCGCGTTATCCCAATCGAAATGAAGCAGTGCCAATCTATGACTTGTCTGGGTGGCAGGAACTGAATCTTTAGTTAATTCGTACCAATCTGCACCTATATGTATATGTGGCAAAAAAACCCTGAAAGCTATTATGAATAGTAGGTACGAAAATGTTTAGGTTTATTTTGGATACAAAAATGCTCATAATAAGATTACTGATATGCTAATTTGTTATATTCAACGATGACTAACAGTTGATTATAAAATGGAATAGTATACTTTCTAAGTGTTTACGGAAAGAATGATTCAAATCATCTAGGAGGAAGATTCCTCAATGAATTTCGCTCTTATATTGAAGAAATTGAACTATCCACTGATGAAAAAGAATTCGAAGCTGGTGTACACGATTTAAACGATGAAGACCACGACCTGGGCGTGGTTGTATAAACCAGATATTCACACTACATTATGTCCTAGAACATAGACACACATTCAGACGCCCCACCATCGTAGTATTTCTCGACCGTAAAACGACATTTGATTCTGTAGATCGTGAGGTTCTATGGCAGTGTTTGTCACTTAAAGGAGTACCAAAGAAGTACATTAACCTTATAAAGGCACTCTACTCGAACACAACTGGTCGAGTGAGAGCTTATGGCGAACTGTCATCAGAATTGATTACCTCAAGTGGTGTTCGTCAGGGCTGTCCACTCTCTCCATTCTTGTTCAACTTTGTCGTTGACGTGCTTTTAGAGATAACACTTTTCTCATCTAGATTTCCAGGAGTTGAACTTTTACCGGGAGATTCACTTGTTGACTTGGAATATGCCCATGACATAGTTCTATTTGGTGGAGACGCTCACAAAATGCAGTCTTATGACCACTATGAGGAACATTGCAAATACGTTCGGGATGCGATGCCCAACCACCGACTGCTCCGACAAGCGATGTTTTATGGTGTAGGAGTAGGTTGGAAGAAAGCTACGGGTGGCCAGACCAAAACATGACACAAATCCATGGAGTCATTGATAAGTGGACTGAGCCATGTCGGTCGATGTAGACTACCTGGTTGGGATCCGCGAGACGATAGCAACCGATGGTTAGAGACCGTGAATGACATGGCACAAGATCGTTTGCAATGGTGCAGGTGCATCCACTCTTTGTGTTCTCTCAAATTCTAATCTTCTGAATTTTTCAAACTCCTTTCTTTTTGTCTCTTCAAATTTATTTCACTGGATTATACTCCTCGAATAACATCCTCAAACCCTAATGTTTCCGATCACTGCTTACACATTTACTACCTCTACCACTATGGGATTTGAGTCGACAATTGTATTTCGGTGCTAATGTGGTATGGCAACTCAAACTGATGTACGTACGTACGTACGAAGTTCTACGTTGTCAGTGACTGACTATGTGATTTGTAATAAAAGGTTAATAAGAATTTTCGAAAAGCAATTATTTCAGAGATATAGCGATACTTGTAGTTTGAATATGTACGTAAAGCAACTCATCCAGACATCTGATTTGGTGTGGCCACCCAGGAGCAACATCCCACCTTCATATATAAATATTTTGAGTGATACATACTATTATTGGTGTTCTGTCGTATTAGATTTCATTTGAGTTAAATAAATAAATAATCAGTAAATAGACAATAAGTCAAAACCGAACATCAAAACTACAAATTAAATGTTAATGTTCTGACCTCATTTCCATTGGATTCGAAAGACTAAAGAAAACAAGTTACACATATCTAACTTGACCCATGATTTGGAGTAGTTCCCAGTCAAAATCTGAATAGGTGATAAACAGTAAGGGAGCCAATTTCGCTGATGCGACTGGTATTGCTCACAAATTTACATTTATAAACAATTATGATGAAATTAATTTCACACAGACTACACAACAGTCTAGTGTTAACATCTTTCGATTTGGTGAGTGACTTATAGCCGATATGGGCAGGTTATCTTTAGTTACTAATTTAGTTGGATAGGATATTTTATTGCTATTCAGTTTTGCGGAAATCTGGATATCACTTCTCTATTTTTATGATAAGAAAAACTAGATTAAAAAAGTACTAACCTTGTAGGTCTTCAATATCCTCGAAAACATTAATTTTTTCTTCGTCACTGGTTGAAGTGCTTGATTCAGTTTCTGAGGCTTCGAGTTCAGAACTTTCATTGCTACTGGAGTCCGATTGTTTATCCGCACCATCCTTCTGAGTTTTAGATGCTAATTTCTGTTTCACGTATGCTCGTGGATTTTTGAACCAAGGACGTCCGCGTTTATCTTTAAATGCTGATTCTGGTCCAACATCATCAAAAAGGTCTTTAACGGTCCTCGCCTTTTTGGCACCTTTACGTTTGCCAGGAGCAAGTAGAGGGTCATGAGATATTTCTTCTAGATTTTTATTATTCATTGATTATTCTGAAAATATTTAATCAAATTGATGGATAACAAAAAATGTCAACCGAAGGTAAAACAAAGTCTATTTCATCAAATCACGGTTCATGCAACATTTTGAGTTTAAAAGAAACAGAATGCACACCCGGCATCCTTACATTATTACTCAGAGTGTTCCGAAGTCTTCGTATTTAGTCAGCACGTTAAATTAAAATGTGCCATCTAAGTACACTAAGTCAATAAATTAATCGCCAGGAGAGGTGAATATTGTCTATGGAAAAATGTCTATAGCAAAATTAAATTTAAATGAGGAAATCGCTTATTGTCTACGGATAGCAAATAAGGTAGATAGCCAAGACGAAAGTTTTCAGAAATGTCTAACCTGAAAAGAACTGCAAGTGAAGAGCCTATAGTAGTGGACTACTTTAGTAAGAGATTTAATGACTTTGCTTATGAACATTTAGATTAACGGGGTCGAATAAAGCGTCTAGGTCATTTAATGTAACTATAGTCAGGGATTTGTATGTTTTCAAACCTGTTAGTGCAAAAATTTGGTTTATACAACCACAGTCAGGTCTAAAACCTACCTATTATTTACTGTCTGTATTCAGGCATAAGACTTATGAGAAAGTACGTTGGAAACATTACTGATCAAACTGATTTATCTCTCGTATCAAAAAGGGTTTTTGTCCTTTGCTATAAATTTGGAAGACCAAGGATCAAGAAACGTCATCCAGAGTTACATCTTGTTCACACTGATAATACTGGCTCGCCATCCTGTAAAGATGTCTGGAGTTATCCTATAACAACGGTGTCTTCCTTTGTACCATTACTCATTATTATTAGGAGCTGCTAACAAAACCTTAGCATTAAATTTCCACGGAGACCGATAAAATGAAAGTCAGTGTGGAAACAACATCACTACTAGTGAAATTAAAATAATTGCAACTGTACTTTAAGAGAATAAATAGTGTGGGAAAAACGGCTAACAAGAAACACCAACGCTACAAATTCAGAGGGAGATAAAAAGAAAAGATATATTTTCTCCATAGCCACTAGCTTCTTTCACGTTATCCAAACCCAGTCAATCTCCAGAAGATTTATTTCATTCAACATTAGCAAATATGTTTACATAAAAAGAAGCCAGAGACAACTGACTAGATTATTAACCTTCATCACAACTAACAAGAGAACCATATCTGATAAGACATAAGTGGTGGGCTGATAGTGATTTATTACAAGACAACTACATCACTACTGTTTCTTGTTATTTGACAGCCATTTCAAATTTACAATTACAGCTCATGACTTAAAGTCCACTCATTTACACTTCAGTCGAATTGCATTAAATGGTGTTGCGTTCGTTAAGTAGTCAAGACTGAACAGAGTACATTAATTTACTAAAATACAAACGAGAAAAGCTTATGAGAATAGTGGTGAAGCTTTACATTATTTGGAACCTTACTTTTTTAACCAAACCCAATTTCAACTGTCTAAGATCATTATAGACATACCTACGTTACCTAGGCAAACAGAAAACGGAGAAACAAAGGCAAGTCTTAAGGAAATCTTGAGAAAAGTCCTTAAGGGAAGTCGACGTAAATTGTCAAGGTTTTGCCTAAAATTTCCCCCACTTAGGTAAGTTGACCATTTATGTGACCAACAGTAGGTCACATAAAATTCTGCATATAAAACGATTCATGCTTGACAATTTGGAAAATACTAGACCAATTTCGTGAGTATCATAAAAGTCGTTAGACATATAAGCACATATGTAAGTGCATGAAAATGGAAAGTTTGAGGCACTTACTACCATAAAGACTCCGGTTCTCTCAGCTGCTCGAATCACGCGTCACAGGTTCAAATCACGCTCCAAAGTGTCCAATGCGGTCAGGCAGTTGTTAACAAATTCGTAAACAAAATCAAATATTCGGAACATGTAGTCATCGAGTCGTTAAAAGGCTAGGAAAACATTTTTAGACCGAAAAGCAAACTTAAAAGTTCATAGAGTATGAAGGGATTTGGTTATACGCTTTAACTAAGTCGATTTTTGAAAGGACGATCGTACCTTTCAAGGTAGCTGCGAGATCGGGAATACGCGGTAACGAGTAGTGGTCCGTAATGGTTCGTGTACTAAGTCTTCGATAATCGTCAGTTGAACGCCAATCACTGGTATTCTTTTTAGGAAATACATACAACGGAGATGTCTGTGGACTATTTGATGACCGGAATATTCCTAAATTTATCTGGAATCGAATCCGCTCCCAGTCAATTTCGGCTTTTAAGGAGCTAGACAGAGAGCTCTCGAGAATATAGATGGTCCTGTAGTCGTGATGTAATGTGTAAAATCGAAAGTCACACTCGGTAAATTCGGTTGTGGCTTCCGCAGTTTGAAATAGTTATTGAGTGTTAAGAGGCTAATCTTTTGCATGATGGGCTACTTTGTGGAGTTTTAGATCGTCTGCAGTCATGCTCGAGGTAAAGTAAATGACAGAGTAGCAGAGTAAGTGTAATTTCGTCTTAGGTCAACTGAAACTTTTATTTGACGGAGCAAACCTCAATGGTGAGGGATCTAGTTATATTCAAAATCCGGTCAGCAGATGCACCTGGTTCATCTACAGCGTATTTTGGAATGGAACCTCGTGCCCTGTTGCGTAAGCTTAGATAGAAGCGGTGTCCAATGAAGTCGTCGCCGAAAGTTAGATAATTGGTCACTTCTCACTTACGTATTAACATTTATGTTGCCGAGCTGTGTCCTAGTCCAGTATTGTGGAAGCATTGATCTAACCTTTGTTGATTGATTAAGCTATGGTGAGGTTCAGAAACACTATTAGTAAACCTAAAAGGTGCGACGTGCCTGTCGAACTTGTGCGGTAGTGCCTCCACCATTGCAAGCAACTTCATATATGGGTCGGTCACGCCGTGCTCGTGGAATTCAGTCTCAGCACAGCAGAGCCAGGCCTCGGTGTTGCCAGGCCAGAGTAGCACAAGTTGCGAAGTGAAAGGGTAAGAGTCATAATCTTTCACAGTTAGGGTGTGAGTCCCGAGATGATAAGAATAAAATAAACGTATATATGTAAAATTTTATCACCAAGAACAGACCCACAATGTATAGCTTGGTGTATCAGATAAAGTCATGACTCATCACTAAAAATGTCACCAATATAGAGGACTTGACGATGCTCTCATCCGAAACACCTTTTTATGGAGGACGCCAAACCCAGTTGGACTAGTGGTCAGGACTGAAGGGAGTCGACGGTATATTTGACAGATGGTCGGTGTGTTCAGATGTATGTTATCCAAGCAAAATGACTTGTAAGGAACGAATAGGATAGAGTAACAAAACGTGATCTGATACGGATGTTGAACGAATGTGTATAAGAAGTGTGGTCAGTAAAATTAATGAGGTCAGCAACACTATCAAAGATTGACAAAATCATTTATTTTGGGGATTTATTTGCTGCTACAAATCTTCACTGTCAAAAATAGTGCATCATTTGAATTTTGTTATTTCTCGAATGTGGTTTCCCAAATGTGTTCTCAAGTGACCTGGTATTAATTGTGCTCGTACAAAGTTTCGGTCGTTACTTATTAACTGAGATCATTATCTTAACACAGGCCGATTTTTTTGTAGACTGTGAAGTGTTTTGTGATGGCCATACAGACTATTCGACCTAGAGGAATAAAAGTGTAGGACATGCTAGGACCAAAGGAGCTTCTCGATTTAAGATGTGCCAATATGTGGTTGCCTCTTTTTATAATAAGATGGGAGATATATATCTGAGCATTTAAGTCGCAGGACATGTAGAAAGTTGTGACGTCCTGTTGACAACCTAACACCTGTTCCTTAGATATATTTATACACGTTTAATTACGTATGATCCAGCTTGGATACAGTATTCTGGATGCAAGATCCGTTTGTGTTCGCATGTTTGTATGAACTTATATGTGTGTGAAAACCCCTCCACGTATACATTCCCTGTGGAAGTATCCGTCCGTTCCCTTCAAATGTAATGCAACTTCTAATAAACCTAGTACTCACGCATATTATACTCGTCATTTTGTTTGTATTTACTATACTATACTGTCTACAAGTGCTAAATTGTTATGAAATCCGTGATGTCTTTTATGACTTTGTTTTGACTAACGTTATATTTGAGCTGCTGTTATATCGGGTGAGTATTCCTGATTGATCTTACTTGATTCACATGAGTGGATCTACACCTGAACGGTAAAAACTTTATTTCCTGTCCGTTAGGAACTTTTGATGTTATGAACAAGGAGATAAATATATAATCGTTGCATCCTTATGTTTAGCTGATCTCTTCTGGAACCCTGTTAACAGTCATATCTTTTAGGCAGAACATTGGCCCCTGATCCCAAGGAATACTGTTTGTTTGGAAATTGATTTTACAAGGTGCCGTTGTTTCTCGTCAATACACGTTAGGAGAATTATTGTCCATGGATTTATTTTGGTGCATATATTTACTAGTACCATATCTACACTGTTTATACATTCCAGTCCCGTGGAACCCTATGACCTGTTTGAATGGAGGTGCGTAACTAAACGATGTCGTAGGTACAGATCCACTAGAATTCTTAAGAACCTATATTTAACACTTGAGGGATTCGAAAGATATGATAAGAGAAACCAGTCATTTTGCGATATTATGCCAACTCGGGAAAAAAGCCTACCTTTCAAGTATATTCCTAGTGTTTCGTGTATAAAAAAATCTATGCAGGTGAGAGATGGATGTGTTAGAATAGTATTGTAAGTAAATTATCCATTTGACCATGATCATACCTACATACCGCTGGTTGGGTAAGTGACACCATGCACAATCAATAAGCTAACGCTTCGATTCATGTTCAATACAACTCTCTACTCATTCTAAGTCTTCTATACCTGCGAAATCGACCGAGTCGGACGATGAAACGCGATTGACTAGATTTAACTAAACCATAACAAATACTCCATAAAGCAGTAATTTATCACTTCAACAGCTTGGTTATACTACCTAAAAGATAAAAAGGGTTTAGACGGAGTATATCATAGAAGACTTTGGGCACGCCAATCAAAAGTATAGCCCCATTGCTGAATGATTCCGACCGCTTAACATTGAAACAACCATAAGGGAAAAACTATGCATAGAAATAACGTGATTGAAAAAAGAACCAAGAATAGTAGTCCCGGTTAACTGTAATTAGTACAAAACATTTTGTATAACCAAAAGAAATATCCAATACTTATAATGAAATCAAATCACAAAATACAAAAAAACAATACATAGAATTCATGATTTAGAAAATGAAACGTAATCAAAAATGAAACATAATTGAATACTTATCGTTAAAATAAGATATAAATTAAACTGTTTTAACTCCATGAGGAAGTTCAGCTGTTGGTGTACGAAAATACTTAACTGAATTTATAAAGAACATATGAATCAGGCGTAATGAATCATGTAGGACACATAGAAACAAAGTAAAAAGTTTAATTGAAAATCATTTATGATAAAATATGAGAAATGAAATAAATTATGAAATTCATATTTATAATCAAGTAATAACTGGCTCCAATGATGTACGGCTTACAGTTCCATCGTCAATTTTGCTTACAAGATTTTTCGATCGTCTATTTACACCAGATTCATTTAGTAATCCTGTACCAAAACGATGATCCCATATAAGTAGACCAAATGTAGCAGTGATAGCGATACTGAGACAGAAGACGAAAAACACTTCAAGGAACAAATAACCCTGTAATATGTGATAGAGGAAAAAACACAAGTGTAACTAGGTATTTTTACATTAAGAGCATAGACAATAATATTTTTTCATCGTTACTACAACAGACTTTTTCATTTGACTAACAAACATGACTTGATAGTCTTCCGCAATCTTATCATGCTAGCTATAGCAAAGATGGATAGTGGCTAGCACTGGAATCCAGGACGCGCGTCCCGTTCAATTTCGAGACTCATCAGCTGGATGTACTTGCATCTCAGAGTTGATGTTCACTCTGGGACTTGAACTCAGTACCGTTCGCTCCAAACGCCATCGCGTTATCCACTTAGCTACTGATTCTTGATAGCCACTTGCTAGCTATAGTTTTCTCCCTCTAGTACACTGCATTGGATATTTTATTATTAGAATTTAGATACAAGTATGTCCTTTTTTAATATTCGCCATAAAATTTCAGTTAAGTACACATTGCCTGCATAATGAACACGTGAATTGTGCTATGAACTTTACTAGTTATGGACACAACTATACAAGTGATCAATCGAAATCTATATAAGACACATACCGTTTAACTAAGCTTGCTGATCTGTTTTCATTTACCTTATAATTGATAAGATTTGTAATTTTCGCAATATGATCCAAAAAAATGCGTGAAATGAAGTTGTCGAAACTTTAATTCACATCAATCACCAGGTGAAATAAGCTTGCCCATGGAAGTTGTTTTTGTTTCCAAAATATAAAATTGTCATATGAATATATAACACACAGTGTTGATGTGGAGACGATAAAATGCTAAATAATGACCAAGACTATGATTTTAAGTTCCCAAAATTTCTAGAAAATATTTCGAATATCGGGAACAGAAATCGTAAAATGAAGAGTATTTTTAAAGTCCATAAAGATTGATGTATTCTAGATTTTGTAAAATTACGTTTTTTTTTCAAAAATCACAGTTAGGGTTAGGTTATTGATATTGCCAAGAGACTATACGAAGACGCCAAATGCCCTGGTACGGCTGACAGTGAGGAGAGTCAGCTCTACCTCTTCAAACGCTCTCACATGGTCACGTGCATACAACCACTGACAAAGAAATCGAACTCACTACTTTCTCGTCACGTAGGTGTTGTTTAAAAAATTTAGAAGACAAAAAGAGAATGTACAGAGATTTATTCGGGTTAGTGGATACGGAGGGTTCACCTAAAGGAGTTGTAAAACCCTCATTTTAAACCAATTGTACACATGGGCCCCAGTATCTTGAGGGAACAAATGGTGTATGAACCTATTGCTGGTCACCAGCTATCGTGAGACTGCATCTCGTGACTTTGCTCCATCGCCTTGTAGATTAGACCTTTAGGTCAAAGGCTTCGGGTGTGGCTCCCTAAGAAAACCACCTGTTTCAGTTTGGGCACCTGGGCAGTATCCCAGCCCTCACATAAATCGAGTGAATTATGTGGCGCATATGTATTTGATGCCTCTTTGTACCAATATCTATGTGTTGAAATAAATAAATAATAAATCGGATACATAAATCAATCAATCAATGAAAATAAACCACTTGAGTTCTGAAATAAATAAATAAATAAAATTACCAGTTCAATATTGATAGTGTAAATTATGATAATACATTTTAACAAATTGATCATAATAATGATAAAAATCCTATGAACTTTGAATGTTTTGAAACAAAATGAACCGATGTAAACATGAATAAAATGACCATTGGAATAGGTGAAGTACAAAATACAAACCAATTTTTAATGATTAGTTTAGTTGTATATGAAATATTTTTCTCTCTCTCTCTCTCTCTCAAAAAGAGAAGAAAACACGTAGTGAATTGATTCACTAGGAACAGGGTGGATCTCTTGAATGTATGAACTTTAAAAGCACACAGGACGATAGAATTGTTCTCGGGTTATTAAATAGTTGTGATCTGGTATTGTATGATAGGAAAGAGTGAAGAAGTATGATTACTATTCCATGTTTTCTTCAGAACTAGCAGTCAGGATTGGCTAAAGTATTGGAAGCTCTCAAGAATTGTGTTATGTCCCGATAAGCATAATGAATGGTAACTTTGGGATCCATTTATGGACCAATACTATGTGTATATTTTTATCATATAATTGTTGTGTAACTAAAATATATATATTCGTGTCCCTCTTATTATGAGCTTTATTTTGACCTATGAACTATGATTATACTATTTACCATTCTTGGGTCAGGCCCTGTTTATCAACTAATACCTCCCTCATTCACAGCCACATTTCGCTAAATCTTGTATAAATGTTGTTTGCTATTTTATGTTACGATGTACTCCGTCTGGTTGGTATATAAATCGAGTATGCTTGAAATACATGATTCATATCGCAGAGGCTGAGATTGTTGTTCTAGACTTAACTGGCTGGGCTAGGTGGGAGGCAGGACCAATAAAGACTCTAGACTGCTCGCACGGGTTTATGCGTCATTGGTCCGACCGACAATTCACTCTTCTCTAATTGGCGGTATCATTACATTATCCACTAACAGGGCACTCAGGCTACAAGTTATAACAAATTCAGAGAGGAGGTTCTCAAAAGATGGAGAAAGGATGAAAACATTTCGTCCAACCAACATTCAATAGAAACTTCCCATAGAGATATAAAGAAACAATGGATTGTCATTTTCGTATTAGAGAATTACCAACTTTAAAAAATAATTTTAGCAAGTTTCCAACATCTCCTAGAATATTAACATTACATATAAACCTACAAATATCGATGTTCTCAGTGCATAAACTAACCATGAAAGAATATTATTCTTTAAACTTCTCACCTTTTGTTCGTTCCTTAATAGTAGGAAATTTGTAGGGAATAGATTACAAAGTCAGGGTTACGCGTTCAGGTACAAATCATATCAAACCACTTCCCTATAAGCCATATGTGAAGAAAATACATCATGCCGAGTGATTCAAACCTCAGTCATTCAGTCAGCTACAACGTAGGACCAGGCACATATATGTATTGGTGCAGGTTGCCATACCGCATTAGCACAGCAAGATGAACACCGGATTCATAGGAGTGATTAAGTCAATGGTGGTAATATATAAAAGAAAGATTGCATATAAGGATCTAGTACAGAAAGAAAGAATTAGTTCGTAGAAAGAAAGATATGAAGCGACTTTAATCTCATAGTTTAGAGGAAGACAGAGAGTGTATACACCGACGCCATTGTGATCGATTCTCAGCCATGCCATCCAAAGTCTCCAACCATTGGTTACGATAGTCACACGGACCCAACCAAGTAGTATGCATCTACCAAAATGGTTCAGAATAGAAGTTAGTGACTTCAACCACTGATGCCACGTTTTGGTTTGGCCGCCTCTAACTTTCTTCCAACCATCTCCAACACCAGTTAGCATTGCACGTCATGGTAATCGGTATTCAGGCATACGTAACATGTGGCTCAACCATCTCAGTCGATGAAGATTCACAACCTCATTGGCGGATTTACCATCATTTCCTAATACCCTGCGTCTAACCTCACTACTACTTACCCGGTGATCCCAGTAGATGCCAGAAATATCTCTAAGGCATCTGTGGTCAAATACTAGTAGCTTACGAGTATATTCTACTCTTAATGGCCACATTTCGCAGCCGTAAAGTAAAACAGAACGAACTGTCGCACAGTATACTCATCATTTTATCGATAGACGGATATCTCCTAACTTGTGTACAACAACAACTACCACTACCACCATCAATAGGAACGAACGAGCTTTTCGAATCTGTGCTGAGATTTCGTCAGACACTAACCCATTAGGGCTGGTCAGACTTCCAAGATAAGTGAAGTTGTCAACTTCACTCCCTATCTTTAGTTCAGGTGTTGACGCAGACCAGTCCTGAAGCAACAACTTGCATTTAGAGGGAGAGAAGTACATTCCAAACATTCTGGTATTATTGCTTAGTGCTACCAAAGACTCTGGATTTTATCAGCGTCTTCACCAAACAGGACTATGTCATCCGCGTATTCTAAGTCGATAAGTGGACCTCCTGGAAGGAGATCAATGCCCGAAAATTCAGTCTACGAGGGCGTTATTTCCATCAGTAGGTCCATGATGAAGTTAAACAAAAATGGAGAAAGTGGACAGCCTTGACGGATACCACTTGAGGTTGCAAAAGCAGATGACAGTTCGCCATAAGCTCTGACTCGACTAGTAGTGTTCGAGTAAAGAGCCTTTACAAGGTTTATGTACTTCTGAGGTACGCATGGGATTAATTGATTATCATATGAATCATTTGATAACTAAGCCACCATTCTACAATTGAAAGTGTTAACCGACATTTTAGGTAATTCATAATAATAATGATAATAATAATAATAATAATAATAATAATAATAATAATAATAATAATAATAATAATAATAATAATAATAATAATAATAATAATAATAATAATAATAATAATAATAATAATAATAATAATAATAATAATAATAATAATAATAATAATAATAATAATAATAATAATAATAATAATAATAATAATAATAATAATAATAATAATAATAATAATAATAATAATAATAATAATAATAATAATAATAATAATAATAATAATAATAATAATAATAATAATAATAATAATAATAATAATAATAATAATAATAATAATAATAATAATAATAATAATAATAATAATAATAATAATAATAATAATAATAATAATAATAATAATAATAATAATAATAATAATAATAATAATAATAATAATAATAATAATAATAATAATAATAATAATAATAATAATAATAATAATAATAATAATAATAATAATAATAATAATAATAATAATAATAATAATAATAATAATAATAATAATAATAATAATAATAATAATAATAATAATAATAATAATAATAATAATAATAATAATAATAATAATAATAATAATAATAATAATAATAATAATAATAATAATAATAATAATAATAATAATAATAATAATAATAATAATAATAATAATAATATAATAATAATAATAATAATAATAATAATAATAATAATAATAATAATAATAATAATAATAATAATAATAATAATAATAATAATAATAATAATAATAATAATAATAATAATAATAATAATAATAATAATAATAATAATAATAATAATAATAATAATAATAATAATAATAATAATAATAATAATAATAATAATAATAATAATAATAATAATAATAATAATAATAATAGTAAGAAAGCATAAACTCACTTTTGTATCAACTAAATATCCAGCAAATATGGAAATTAATCCAAGTCCTAAATTTTGAATTGAAGAAATTAAACCATAAGCTGTGGCTCTTTGATGCAATGGCAATACAAAAGCAACTATTGGCCATAAACTACTAGCCAGAACAGAATAAGACAAACCCATCACAATCATGATAGCTAGTGGGGGAATTTGACCACTAGTAAAAGCAAAGCATAAATGACAGCCCAATGTAATTAATATTCCACTGAATAACCAATATAAATTATATCCGATAATATCAATTGCTGCTCCAAATACAGGACTTGCCACAGCGGATATAATGTAGATAAGACTGTTAACAACACTAGCATCTTGAACAGATAAACCAAATTTCCCTATATGTTTGTAAATATGAAAACATAGGGATTTAAAGACAGAGAGGGAAAAAAGAAATCAGAGAAGAGGTTAGTTACTGAGGAGTGATTTTTAATGAAGAAAAACAATCAGTATTGAAGTAGTTATTTCATGTTATGAATAAAATTTCTGATGTTACTGAATAACAAAATAAATAAGTATTAATTTCGCCTAATTTAATTGCATTGAAAATAAGGCTGTATCACAAACAATACACAAAGAATAGTAATTGCTCCTACACACTCTACCAGTCAGTCAATAATGCATGGCCCCCAAATGCCCTGGTACTGCTGAGAGTGAGGAGAGTCAGCACTTTCTTCTCGTGACGTGGGTGTTGTTTACAAAATTGAGAAGACAAAAAGAGAATGTACAGAGATTTATTCGGGTTGGTGGATACGGAGAACTCACCTAGAGGAGTTGTAAAACCCTCATTCTAAACCAATCGTACACATGGGCCCCAGTATCTTGAGGGAACAAATGGTGTATGAACCTATTGCTGGTCACCAGCTATCGTGAGACTGCATCTCGTGACTTTGCTCCATCGCCTTGTAGATTAGACCTTTAGGTCAAAGGCTTCGGGTGTGGCTCCCTAAGAAAACCACCTGTTTCAGTTTGGGCACCCGGGCAGTATCCCAGCCCTCACATAAATCGAGTGAATTATGTGGCGCATATCTATTTGGCGCATCCTTGTACCAATGTTTATGTGTTTAAATAATAAATAATAATAATGCAATAATGCATGAGTATGAAAGGGTCTGGTATAATTATGTATCTGTCTAAAATGGTACAACATATTAGCATAACAAAAGAGGAAATCATTAAGAAAAGTCGAATAACTGTAAATAAATAAATGTAATAGTAATCTCTATGATATGGAGAGAAAAAGAAGAGAACAGTTCTAAAGTTACACATGACTATACATAATTAAATACATTAAGAGAACATGAGAAATTTAAGTAAAAAGTATAAAATGATACAGTTAAATAGAATGAGAGCATTAATTTCATGCAGGTTTATTTGGAGTGATGTGTAACGAATCTGTCTATTTACTTATAGAATTAGAAGCAACAGTTAGAAAGTTCATGAATTTGTATAACTTCTTCATTTTAGGCATTTTTAGATTACTCCTAAGTCTCACATTGACACTGATTGAAACATTAGCAGCTGACTTACTCCCATTGACTACTACACACTTAACATCACATCTAGTTGTTATTAGCGGGGAAAGAAAAGCAAACTACAAGTAATCAGTTGGTACAAACATTAATTAGATGAATGACAATTCAGTAAGTCATAACCAGCATAGAGCATGGCACAAATATGTATCATCCAAGTTTCCGATCACAATGAGAAACCTTAAACAAAACAAATACTGTTCGAAAAGAGGTGAATATGAAGAATAAAAATTATGAAATAATACTGGGGTATACGACTTAAAAGAAAATGTAATGAATTCATCTGTGCCATTGTGATCAATTCTGATCATATCACACAACATTTCAAACCACTGACAGTGGTTATTTAATGAGGATCTGCTTAACGTAGTTCATCTGAATAAATACCCACAAATTGAATCATATGAGACTTTCATATCAACTGTTTACAAATTGCAATTAACGAGGCGATAGATTATTTTATCAACTTATATTTGAAAGATACATATCACTAACCATGAAACGTAGGATCTACGACATTAAAATGTCAAAAACTAAAGTGATATACTACCGGATAATAATAGAAGTACATAAATGAGTAAGTTTTGATTTTAATGAAGAAAAACATGAGAATCAACGGTATCAATTTAAAAATAACTTACTTTCAAAAAATACTAGTCCTAAACTAACAAATGGAAATACTGTTACATAATATGTCACACAAATGATACAAATAAGCCAAATAGCGCCTGGAAAATGAATAACATCCATAGGAGAGATCTTTTTGTTTTGATCTTCTATTTTCGTCGTGAGTAATTGTTCTTCTTCATGATTAGATATTTCAAGTGTATTGGATTCAACAGGCTGGGTATTCAGTGAATGCGGTCTTCCACAAGATGACAGAATGCGTTTAGCTCTAAAAAGGTTTTGAAAAAAACAAACGATGTGTGAACTGATAAACTGTATGTCCTGACAGTAGTGTAAAACGTTTTAAAGTCAATGTAAAAGATAATGCGTTTTAAGAACCTCATGCAGTCATATGCAACTTAAAACCTGATGAACATATGTGCAACGGTTTAAGTTATCATGTCACATTAGTATTATTTCAAGATAAAACCCAAAATAGTAACAGAAGTACAAATAGCATCAGTTGTAGGAAAGATTAGGTATAAAAAAAGTAAAAGGTATAAGTGGGTTTCCAGACTCAAATTCCAAAGGAAGTATACGAGTGAATGCACCTGAACCATTGTAAGCGATTTTGAGCCATGTTTACCAGTCTCTAAACGTTGATTACGGTGATCATAAGAACCCAAACCCGGTAGTCTACACCTACTAAGATGAGTTGAATCCGGTTGTCAGTTAGTTATTGAACTGGTGTTACGTCCTGGTTTGGCTGTCTTTAGCTTTCTCCCAACCTACTCCTATACCAGACATCACTCGTCGAAGTAGGCGGTGGTTGAAGGCATGTAACAAATGTGTCAGACAACTCGATTGATGAAGATTTACTACCTACTCAACCGATTTGTCATATTTACGTAGTACCCTATGCCTAACCTCAGCGCTGCTCAAATTTAGGACAATAGTTACTCTTTTTTAGTGAAATAATGGTTGAAGGAAGAGGGTAGCACAAAAACACCTCGGGGTGGTTATGGCAAAGGTCTGTAGAACTTCAACTGATTATAATTTTACATCACTTACTGACTTAATTCAGAGAAACAGTGAAGACTAGAAAAGCAGTGGACAGTTTCTTCGTCCTAGTATGGGGCTTGCTATAAGCTGCACCCACGACCCCACAAAGGATCGAAACCACAACCTCTGGAGACTTCGATAAGTGCTTAAACACTAGATCAGAGAGTTGCCACCGAATGGTCTACAAGTATAGCTTCAGTCTATTGGCAACATTGCTAGAGAATCACTCATTATCATTGGTGACACTTGATATGGTGGAAACTCCATTGGTCACAACTCCCTACTAGAACTCTGGGATTACCCCTCAAAATTAGCCACTAGCAAGCATATGATGACTTATTAGTTAAAGCTACATCTTAAATTCCATGTCTAGCGAGTGGAGGGTCCTTGTAATGGTAAAGGCTTGTAACTAGAAAGCTTGAAAAACTAACTTCAACATACAATGGATCAGCTTTACAGCTGATGAAAAGTCTTTATATTAACATTTTATTGATCTCTTTCGACAAAAAATTCAATAAACCAAGGAAATGTAGATAATTTTACGAATAGCTGATAAAGTAGTTATTTGTTTATTTATTCAAGAACTAACATATACCACTATTTCTGTCATAAAATCACCCCGTTTCCGTTTGAAATGCGAAAACTAAAAGGTAAACTTGTGACAAAAAACACTATTTCTAACTATTCACAAGTTTATTTCTGATGGTAAACTTAATACTTGTAAATCCATGCATTGGAAGACTCGATAATTAGGTGGACAAAAGTGGATAGCTACGTTATTACATGTCTTTTCTCAACCAAAGTTAATATTCATCATATCATGATTAACCACATGGGACAGGATGTATGTATAGTGATTTACACTCCTGATCAAAATATTATTATCAACTGTAAGATTTTATATCATGAATATAACTCGTTAAATAGGTACGAATTTATGCACTTGTCTTTTAAGCCTACTGTTTCTCCTAGGTTTTAAATTGAAATAAGTGAAACAGAGTTCAAACCTGCGATCTACTGGTTGAATGTTGATTGTTTCAACCACCAAGCCACTACCCAACTTCATGTTAAATAATACCTTCAAATAACATAACAGACAAATAAAATAAGAGTTCATGAATTTCTAAACGAAAATTAGTACTCTAATTACAAATTATAGCGTAAATACGTTACATAACATACCTCTTTGTAAAAAACAACATAATTACAGCACAGAGAGTAGAAAATAAACAGGTAACAGAAGCAGTCAATAAAGATGCACCCAATTGTTTATTAGTGTGTATATTGAAGTGTTTGCCAACAGCTCGATTCAGTGGTTGCATTGTTACCATGTTTACTGTCGATCCAATACGTGACATGCTAAGTTGAAGTCCAAATACTAGATTTAACTCATTTGGTGGAAACCATTCAGTTGAATAAGTATTCTGTGCTACAGCGAGTGATTCACCACCGATTCCAAATATCAATCGGGAGAAATACATTGCAGGAATATTTTTAAAATAAGCTCCTATACCGAATATTATTTGCCCAATAAGTACAAACATTGAAAAAATAATGCTTCCCCATGGGATACCAAATACTCTATCGATAAGAAAACCACCTACAAAACTTAGAATTACATTTGGCCATGAGTAAAATGCGTACAAATTCATGAATTCAACCTTTGTCATGTCTAGAGAGCTTAGGAAGACATCTTGAAGTGCTGAAGGATTATCATAGCAAAAATAGCTTCCAAAAGAAAGGAAACAAATGAAGAACAATACAATATAGCGATGAGGACGTCTTCTTGGATCACATGCCCAACTAGTTCCACAGCCTTATGGAACAAATAAAATGGAAATATTATTTACCTGTGAGATTTATATCTCTATTTATGACTTCTTCGTCCTCCATTGATAAAATTTCAATGACCAAAGATGGGATAGAAGCAACAGGTGAAAGTTAGTATTTATGCGGCAGATCAGTCTAAAAAATACCAAGTTATCAACCATAAGCCACTTAAGGATCATATAGCTTATAAATGACAGAAAATAGCCCACCAAAAGACTGACCTAAATATATTTACAAACATAATAAAGCGCACACCAAGGGAAAACTAAAATAAATCACAATTATATGAAAATGATCAATCTTTTTTCATAAAAACCATTATCTATCTTACATACCAGTTTTGGCTATTTTAAGTCTCATACTGCAACTGATAGTTTATTCGGGGCCCTGGACTAAACTACTACTCAGTATGAAAACCACTGAATGTACATGCTTGATCCACCAACATCGACAGCGCTAAACAAATTCTCTTAGACTCAGCCTTTCTTATACACAAACACGAAGTTTGTATTCGGTATTATATAGTCTTATTTAAGAATACTAAGACTACGAACCTTTCATTAAAACATGTGTCAGGATAACGATTTATTGATTAAAACGCCATTAAGTTGTAGTTTCAAGTCCCACTTTATATATCTTTATTTGAACACCTGTGTAGCATAACTACCAGGAGAGTCCTTAATGCTTTTTCATGACGTGGGTGTTGTTTACGAAATTGAGAGGATGAAAAGCGAATGTCTAGTGCATAAACCGGGTTGGTGGATACTGAGGATCCCTCAGTGGAGTTGAAAGTCCTTCATTCCAAACCAATGGTGCACATGGGCTCCAGGATTCTGATAGAACAAATGGCGTATGAACCAATTGTTGGTCACCAGCTTCCATAGAACTGCATCTCCTGACGTTGTTCTACTACCTCTATATTAAAGGCTCCGGGTGTTACCTCCTAAGAAAACCACCTGTTTCGGTTCGGGCACCCGGGCAGTATCCCAGCCCTCACACGAATCGAATGATTTGTGGCTCACATGTATTTGGTGCCTCCTTGTGCCAAAGTTTACATGTTTCAATCAATAAAATAAAGCTGTGTAAAAGACGTATCCCGAATTGAATTGTCTGAGGAGTCGGAGAGATTGTCACAATCAACGTGATACTTAAATTAATTAGTCCATTTTTACAGATTTTGATAGTTTAGTGAAATGAATTCGGTTTCAAAAATGTGATGGAACTGACCTATACATTTTGAACAATCTGACCACACACATACTTATCAAGATTTTTATGGGTGTCTGATTTCCTCTCGAATGAGTGGACTGGAGTTCCAGATAACAATTATTTTGGCAGTAAGTCTCAAGAGTTGACTGCTATGCGAGAAAACCTGTATTCTTCTGCCCTTGGCTTTCATACTCCTGATATGTCCTGATTAGGAAGTGTGATTTGTAAACAAGATGAACAGGCGTGTACTCGTATTCCATTGTATGGTTTCTTTTTGTGTCTGGGCGTTTAACTGAAATACATGAACCATGCTAAGACAATTTAAGAGAAAGCCAGAGATTAAGAGTGGTAAAATTAGTGTCGTACAGGTGCATAAGTCGACACACCCAAAGTAAGAAAAACAAGTAGTTTTTGGTAATGTCATTAAAATTCTGTGCTTTTGTGCGTTAAAATAACATCCCGAAGTTGAAAATATGTGGATTCTGCGTGTAGGCATCAAGATATTTCGTAGAACACAAGATCAACGCATGAACAAATGCAATAGGTCTCCCAAATCACCTCGACGTTGGGGACTGTTGAACAAAAACCTATCACAGAACAAAACCCATATAAACTAATAACTTGTGAGTTAACCACCTGGAAAGTCAATCTACACATGACTGTTCACAAAAATAATATCTTGATTATGAACTGTTTAAATCCTAAGGTATAGTCATCTACTAGTAGTGATAAACTGAGAGCTCTCGGTTTCTTATCGCAATATTACCAATTATATGGTATCGTGAATCATTGTCCCAGAGTGAATGCTTTAATGTAAGATATATTATTACATATTGTATGAACAACGGGATGCTCTTCAGATTTATTTTATCAACGTAAACCTACTCGCACCCAAGTTGCGAACTGAACTACAATTTGGCGGACATATTTGGAGCCGTTACTATGGTCTCCAATATCCAATATCTTTTTGACGAGCTTGTCTAGAGGGATTGATCTCATTGTCGCGCTTCTTGATGTTTCACTACGAATCGTTGTCATTGATGACCTGGCCACTCGAATGGACTGATTCTAGCCACTTTGGTAGTTAATTGTGGATTTGTATATCTCTTAGTTTGAATGCGTTTATCTCGAGACATTAGGGTTTCTGGATACCAGTGTCCATCATATTACCAGGAAATAAGTTGTTTTGTTGCAACATAAAACAAATAATTAAAAATCCGGATATAAGAGGAGACGATTGTCTCAAGAACAAATAAATAATTTACTGAATTGACAATGTATCAGATGACGGAATTGAAAGAATAAGAAGGGAAACGGTGGTGATGATAATAAAAGAGAAAGGAAGTTGTCACTACTATGTGGTAATTATAACTGTGTTAATACATGAGGCACTCATCAAACACAGCTGGTCCTAGAGGTATATGATGATTCATGTGTGAGTACATTATTGTCAAGTCTCCTTTTAAAGCTATCCACTGAAGGAACTGTGGTCACGTTATCTGGGAGAGAATAATCTTTCAACCCTATCGTCCACTTAGTTTCCTGTCTCGAACCTTTATCCAAGAGATATATACCTCTTTTAAAGAGAGGGGGACAGCGACATTACTGACTACAAGATGGGGCCGCGCGTAGTAACATAATGTAGTAGTAATAAACTATGTACTTAGGCACACACCATAGAGTAACATTTCATACTGATTGATAAAAGAAACAAAATATATGTGCAGAGTTTAGATTTATATGTTTAAGTACAAATGAGATGGTTAGCGGAATAAAGTGTAATTGATTCTTTCTACCGTTCCTACCGATGATGAGGTATTTTTTGATCGTTTTATGATCTATCAGGGTTCTTTGTATGATGTGTTAATAGCTTATTTACAGCATCGATGGATATGTAGATGAATCTGAATGTGTTTATATATCTGTTGGTCTGTTCATGATGTGAATTAGCTCTGCATCCATCCGCATTTTGTCATCGCAATTAAATAGGTATCTTGGTAGAATTAGAGTTGTTCCTTAAACTAATTTAACTAGGGTACAACCGACACCCTCTTTGATAGTTGATTGGATTCATAGAAAAATAAGAGGTAAGCTGTCACTCTACTTCACTGATTTGAGTAGTGACATGAGTGGGATCTTCCTCTGAAAGTGAGAATTTTCACTCGTCTTTTAGCTGTGAAATGTTAAGCTGTCGTTTTGATGTGGTGTTCTCCTAACGGTTAGGTGGATTTATTGGACAAAACTGAGGGCTAAGATTTTTGGTAATGATCAGAGGGATACGGTAGTTTGCGATTCAAATATCGGGGAATATTGAAGCAATTGATTCTGAAAGTGCATCACTTGTATCATATTATGGGTGAAAATTCTATTTACAGAAGTAAATACGCGTGTCAAAGGGTTGGAAGGTGACAGAGGCTTGACGATTACTATATACACGTGTTGAAAACATTTATCACGTGCTGGAAGTTTGCCCAATGCACCAAGGGTATATTGAGGAACTTTCTTGCATTAGAACTCCGTCGAAGTTCGTGCCCATCTTCCTACATCTGCGATCAAACGTGGATATACAAACGTCCGGATATTATTTTAACTATCGCTCAGATTCCTGAGTGTAAAAATTAGTGACGATGTTGAGCTACACTTTCTCGACAAACTTTCGGAACAAGAGGACGTTTGTGGTCTGTTGAAACGTCAAAGGTGATGGAAGAATCAGACAAAGGGACTGGAACAGGCTAAATTGTCAGTTTACAATTTTCTTAGCAGTCCTTTACATGTCTATCATTTACCCGTAGTTCTTTCATGACTACAAAATCAATGTCTGTCTTACGAACTGAGGTTCTGATTTCTATTCTGGGTTATGCACATGCTACAACATTCTAGTTTCCACTGACTAATTGGACATCAGTAGAAAATTGTGAAATGTAGTTCAGCTGCCAAGCCCTTCGAAATGAATGAATCTTAGGATATGCTGAATGACTGGCACAGAGGTTTATGATCGATTATTGTATTGAACTCACGTCCATATAATATTAAACTGAACTTCTTGGCTGCTAAATGCATCGTTATTAATTCACGCCCAAAAATGTTGTAGCGTGTTTGAGCAAGCGACAGGCAGTGAGAAAGTAAAACAAGGGACATAATGGTGTTCTTGATTTTCAGAACTGCTCCCGCTACAGTTTGAGGCATCAGTGTGTAAAATGACCTGAAATGTGGGGTTGTAGTTTATGTTTGATGGTATAGAAGCATTAGGTAGCATTGTTGTAGCACTTTGAAATGCCTTTGTTGAGTCAGACGGAGGGTTTAAGTATTATCTCTCCCTTGACCAATGCATATTATTAGAGCTTGTCCTCATCAGATCCATTAATGTGGGCACGCTCTAGCTAAAAATCATGGGAGAAATCGCACGCGCCTAAAACTCTTTAACTTTCCGAGTGAATCAGGTTCAGGGTAGCTAAGAGTTTCATCAACGTTCTGTTGTGATGAAACTTTATGGTGCAGTGAAAATCCAAAGCAGGAACACCCAGTATAAGCCATGATAAGTTGATAAAAATGTATAAGTTTGTAAATGGTGAGATAAGATGTGTGTCGTTCCTCTGTAGTGTTATTGGTCCTCAATCACACGATCTTCGAAGCCGGACATAGAATTACTGGGAAGAGTCACTTTCAACATTTAACACTAAGTGAGGGTTAAGGGTGGTGAACGTGGGAAGAATCATTCGAGATGGCATGGCTCAGCTTTGTAGTCGTAGGCATTTTTGTGCAACTTACCTCCTTTGTTCATGTCAAGTATATTGTCCTATATCCAACCCAAATGTGTTCTTCAGAAGCGCTAGTCATCATATTGCTGATGATCTTGACAGTTAGAGTCAGTTTAGGCAGTGATGGAACCTCCACGTAAAACATATAGATTAGGTAGTCACATGAAAAATCTACAATTTTAGGATTGCGTCTATTATCAGAGTGGAACTAGTGATGATATAAACCATAGTTCTACACCATTTAAAAGGGGCTGTCAACCAGAACATCAATATATACGTGAATGAAATCCTTCTGTTTCTTAATCACATTCATAAATCGTTGAAATGTTATTAAATACAAATGACAGCCTTAAGAATTCGGACACGCCGAAAGATTTTATGGAGGTAGTTTTTTCTAGATCTTCAGGTGTCCCCGGAATGCAATTGTAGGCTTGTAGTATTATGGTCTACTTCGTTATTAGTACTGCTCTAGTAATAGACCTACTCCTAGAATTGCAGGTTTATCATTGATGTGACTACGTAATCTATAAAATCTCACGTGGAGGTCACATCATTATCTACCCTGGCTCATCGTATTGTAACAATTACCAATAAATTATGGGGAACTCATTCAAACTGGAGATAGGACAATATATTTATTATGAGTAGAAACAAGTTGTACAGAGCGAGGCTGAGCTGTACCACCCGATTGGATTCAACTGAATTCCTTCTTCCCGCCTTCTCGTTCGTTCGGTTTTTCTCCGCGTTAAATGTTGAACACCTATTTTCCCAGTTGACTCGTGCTCAGTTTTGAGGATTGTGTGGTTAGAGCCCAAAGCCACTACAAGCTCTTAAGAAGTGGAATTTGGATAAAACTGCTTTCATTTAACGTCAATGAAAAGTCCTGCAGGTGAGGGATTAGGTATCTGTTCAGTATTGTCTGTTTGTCCAAACGTCGATAATTCCTACACGGGCGGCAGTCATGACCTTCTCTATGGGTATCACATGTAATGAAGGGGCTCACGGACTATCTGGAGGTGCCTAATTACACTGTGTGTCCAAAGTCTTTTCCTGATCAACAGTACGCTATGAAGCTCAGTCCCAAGTCCGAATTCCTTATGATGATGTTGACCATAGATAGTATATAGTTATGCATGAAGAAGAGTCCAAAGATATATTCTAAGTGAAGACTAGTGTCGAAAATGGTTACCTACCCCCTTCTTTCTTCTCTTTTCTAGCTAATGACTGCATTATGAAGACCTCCACGTCTCAAGAAAAGCACGGGATATATTAGACACCATGGACTTATATGGATTGAAGATTGCTAGGATGGTATAGTTGTTCAGTAATTTATGGTTTTTGAAGGTTTTATAAGTAAAATCAACGCATAATTCATAATACAATTCGAAGAATTTTCAAAAGCCTCCTATGTAGTTGATAAGCCTATATTTATCATAGTGGAAATAGTGAACCGTGGAGTTCAGGCATATCGAGTGTAGGATAAGTATCACACATGGCAATAGTAGATGATCTCGCAGCACTGTGAATTAACTGATGTTGGAAATACAAACTATTACGTGCCAACTCTGTGGTTTCAATACGATACTTAAAATTTCTAAATTTAATCGTTGGTGGGATCGTCAGTAACTACCTAGTGATCTTTAGTTTTTATTAATTCCAGGACTGATATCGATCTATGAAGAAAACCACTCAGAAGCTTGTAGTGACTCACATTTATCACGAGAACACGACTGGTTTAATAAAAACAATTATTATTATAACCAACTGTACCAGTGTTTGTTTTGACGTGCTTTTGTTTGACTGTGCTAATGACAGCTATTTTGTGCTTCCATTCTTTTACTTACACTTCGATTGTAACTTCGCGCGAATTCGGTTGCGTTCTGTAACCAAGCTTGTATCCTGGCACGATCTCGGTATCCTTTCGATGCCACGAGATCGCCAGCAAATAAACATCGACTTGGTCCATTAACTGTCTTCTGATATTTGGCTTCTCGGGGATTTTATGGATCTATTTGGTTACGTTCAACCCTCGCCTTCTGATTTACTTGGCACGTGTTTCTTTGTAGCGGTGTTCACAGTTAATCTCAACTCGACGCCACGCTACAATTGGTAATCCCAATACGAATACAAGTCCTTGGTTCTAATCTCGCGAGACGGAATCCTGGATG